TGGAGCTAGGCACATCTCTCATCTTTCCTTTGATCTGTCCTTCTTTTGTCTAAACCAAAGCTTCCTTCTCGGGCCCTCCTTCCGCCACCTTTTGGACAAGACAGGTTACTCTCGCCCCATTCCCATCCTCCATTTCCCTGAGCAGCAGGCAGCGCAGCTGCAGTGTAACTACAATGTCACGCAGCCCTGAACCAAGGGTAGAGAGGGAAGAGCTGAAGTCCCCTAAACACATTCAGGACTTGACCCCCGTAGACCGGGGTTCCTGCATATCACCACTCAGGTTCAGCTTTGTCTGTGTGAAGCAGATAGGGAGCAAGAGGGAGGAGCTTGAATTTTTTCACCTACTTCTTAGACTTTGGGAATTATTTCTTGGTTTTATTATTCAATGTGCTCAAAGAACATTAACAATGAAAAGGGTTCACTTTATAGAAAGTATTTTAACTCAAAGGAAGTTAGTTAATTTACCGTTTTTGCAGATGTTAATGTAAGTTGCTGTATCCGCGGTACTTTTGGTGGGAGGGAAACCAGTGGTTCAATGGGCCATTTTCCAGAGACACTATTAATTATGTCTACTGTTGTCCATCTTGAGAGACTGAAAATACGGTAACCAAATTTATAAAAGCTTAGGTGGGAGGCAAGAAGGTCTGCGGCAAAGTCAGCAGGAGCTGCTGCCCCGGATTCTAATCACAGGGATTTCAGTAGCTGTCTGCCTGGGGCAGGTGGCAGACTGGTGGACAGAGGAGATACAGAGGGCAGCCTATCGGGAGGCCCACTGAAGAGGGAAGAGTGAGCCACGCCCGGAAACACGCCTTTCCTCCCGCACCATTAACCTGCCGGAAGTCTGCAGTGGGGGCCAGACAGTGCTGGCAGGCTCGGTCCTCACTCACAGACGGCCTGCGGGGGGCGCCGACCTGCGCACATACCCTGCTCCACTTCACGTCGTGGTAGCTCCTGGCTGTGATGCTTTGAGCAAGTTACTTACGTGCTCGGAACTTAGGATCCTTCATCTATGAAGTGGGGGTGGTGTTTTCCTCAGGGTTAGCTGGAGGTTAGAGACGGAGCGTGCGCGTGCCTGACAGGGCTGAGCTCCCAAGGCCTCCCCGTAGACAGCGTCTGTTACTGTTGGGCAGTGAGATCGCGCAGGCGCAGCTTGCTCTGAGGCGGAAGCGCTTGTCATAGAAAAAGATGGTGCCTCAGCCCTTGGCCTTGGTGACCTGAAAGCCCCCACGAGGGCCCTTCCTGGGAGCTGCTGGCTAGAGAGGCCACAGTGGCTCAGAAGGGTTCACAGGCTCTGCACACAGAAGCAGGATCCTTGGAAATAAACAGCGGATTAGTCAGTCCCCTTTCAGCAACTTGGCTCTTTATACTTTAGCTGGTGTTTGCCTCCTCCGTTCCCATTCATGCATTTACTTATTCATTCTGGTCTCCCTTCCCCACCCCGCTGCAGCCATCACCCTGCCCTCACTCCAGCCGCACCTCTGCAGCCATCCTTCTCCGTCCAACTTCTAGGCCCACTGAGCCTCCAGCTTCCTCAGAAGGAGTACGTCCTCACCATTTAGCAGTAAGGCCTCCAACACAAAGCACATCTTTGCTTATTCTATGTCAGCAAAAGATGGAACAGGAGGCATCTGAAGGGAGAGCATGTAGTTACCACTGTGCTGTGGAGAGACAGCGACCCAGCATATTTAAGTGGGAAAGTCCACTTTGCTTTGTGCTTGCGTTTTATGTCCCGTTTTAGGGCAGAGTCATAGGAGAGGAGCCGAAGTGTGAACAGAGATCCATTGTCTTGTTTTGCTTTTCCAGGTCAGATATTTGTAGAGTAGCTTCGTGTTTTATCTGGAAGGTTACAGATTTTCAGAACAACAGAAACACTATCATTCAAAACCTACACAAATTCGTGTGCCAGAACAAATAGGAATGTTTTTTGGACTGTTTTCTATTTTAGGGGTTTTTTGGGGGGGGTTCACTGCGACTCCCAATGAAGCTAGCTAATTGTGAAGAGACTGTCTCATTTATCTGTACATGATCAAGACATGAAATGGGGCGCCTCCTTGAGCCATGAGACTCCAGTGGGTCAGGCCAGGGAGGGGTAACCATAGTCAGAGTAAAGGAACACTAGTAATGAGTGAGTTCCTCCAAAGGAAGTCGGTCCTCACAGCCAGCAGCCCTTCAAAGTGGTGGCCATCATCCCCCAGAGCAGAAGTGAAACAGAGTTACGTGAGGGCAGGGCCGATTTGGCCTCACTCCTGACTGGCTCCCAAGCCTGCCTCAACTGCACCATGTTAGTTTCGTTTCTTTGAAAGAAAATTTCTATGAACTCATGCTGAAGCCTGTGGGAAAGAGGAAGAACAAGGAAGCGCTCGAGTCAGGGTGGAGTCTGGTTTTCCTGTGTGGACCAAGCCACAAGACTCCCCTTCCCAAGCTGTCCGTTCCCTGGAGCAGGATGGCCGCGTGGGCGGACACAGCGGATAATGTATGTGCTCTCTGGACTAGGGCTATGGGAAGCGTGGCCTGGGTTGGGCAAGTCTGAAATGGCCATGCCGGCCCTGCCTGTAACAGTGCGGGAAGGGGGCAGAGGTGCTGGGAGGGGAGGCCCGGCTCCTGCAGCGGCCCTTGTGCTGAACACTGATGCTGCTCTGTGGCTCAGTGTAGCCGGGGTCGGCGGGGTGCAGAGTCACCAGAAGCTCTCCTTTCAGTCCTGGCTTGTTTGCTTCGATAACCATAGAGAGCCTCCCATCAGAGATTTCACATTACCCGGAACAGGAATCTGTACTTAAGCATTTCACTCAGTGTTCTTCCATATGGAGCGTTCTTCCATATGGAGCGCCTTTCTCCAAAGGAATTTGCCATATTGGTTGAACTGTTTCCCCATATCCTCTAAGATTATGAGGAAAAAGAACTTTGGAAATGAGTTGCCACATCAATACCATCTGAGCAGATTTGCTCAGTAATTTCCATTTTTCCGGAAGAGTAAAAGAGAAAAAAAATCATCCATTTTAGCCAACTTTATTTTTAGAAAAGTATTTTATTCAAACATCTCCTTACTTATTACAGACATAAATACATGCATTCAGACAAATGAATCCACAGGAGAACCGTATAAAGTAATTGGCACATCACTTCAGGATGCTTTGTCAGTTACTGGAGGAGTTTGGTGCCTCTAACTTTAATCTTTTCCATTAAAATATCCATTCTGCCTTCAGATCGTGAAGCCCATAATATTTTAGACTGTCTCCATGGATCTGTTAGTTTTGCTTGTCAATTTAATTTGTGGCTCTATGACTTTGGATGGCTTGTTAGATTGTACATGGAAACGTGATCTGCAAATGATGTTCAACATGCCAGGCTTAAGATCTAGCCTTTCCCTGGGGACACTGGACATACAGCAAATGTGGAACTGGCAGGTTTCATGTGCAGCCAGCCTAACTGTTAGGATGACTGTGATGTATGGGATGGTGGATGTTCAGAGCTCACTACTATTGCATTTATACACCTTAAAGTTTATAACACTTTTTTACTCTTTGCAGCACTTTTTATATCCACCATCTCGTTTGATTCTCAGAGCTTCCTTGTGCTGGATTATCACTCACGTCTTTATAGCTAATGAAACTGAGACACAGCGAGAGAGGTTTAGTAGCTTGCCTGACATCACAGGGTAGATTGGGCTGCAGAAATGCCAGAGGACAAAGCCAGATGCCAGCAGAGCTTAGTCAGGGGTGGTGTGTGTGGTAGCCTTTACCACATAATTGCCAGTTTCCCCCGCCCTCCTTTGGGGAAAGGAGTTCTGAAGCAGTGAAAGCAGAAAGGCTGGAGGTGGGAGGTAGAGTCCAAGAAGCTGAAGCTGTAGCAACAGCTCCACACAGACGACCGAAGCTCGCTTCACTGCTCCTTGCCTGGCCTGTCGCAGCAGCCCCGTCTCTCTGGCCTCCTTCCTTCAGTGTCACCTGCACAGTACACATTCTCCATGTCCCCAGACAGATCTTTCTTAAGTACAAATCTAAGCAAGTGTCTCTTTTGCTGTAAACCCATCACTGGCTCCCACTGCCATCAGGAGGGAGTCCACATTCTTCATCGTGGTCTTCCAGCCTATACTGGGGTCTTGCTTCTGGCCCCCCTGTCTTCTCCCCCACCGCACTAAGTTCCTTACCATGGCAGAACCCACTGCGTTCATTCTCAACCTCCTTTTTGGCTGCTTCCTCTGCTTAGAACACACTTATGATGAACTAAAACACGACCTTCTCTGTGGAGTCTCTCCTGACTTCTCAAGGCCCCAGAGGCATCCTGTCCCCTGCCTGCCTGCAGCCGCTTTGCCAGCCCTGTTTCTGGTCTCTCCTTTGCTGAGCGGTCTGCCCCAGGAAGCTCTTAGCTTCAGGGACAGAGGTTGTGGCAGGTGCCTGTGTTCTCTTACCCTCTCCCAGGTGTCTTGCAGACTTTGAATTCAAGAGGATGGATGAGCATAAAATGTAGGAGTGAAGTGAGTAAGGGAATGAATGAAAGAATGAAGAACGAAGGAAAGGACTCTGCCTGCGCCAGCAGGAAACAGGATTTCCAGGGTTACCTGGAATGTGTCCCTGTTCTCTCTCTCTCAGGAGGGTTGTGGAGAGATGTCCCCCCTCCATAACTTGACCTTGTTGGTGAAATGAGAGGCGGAAAGGATGGTGACCTGGGCTTTTGCCTGGTGACCGAGCTTAGAGGAAAGCACATCAGAGCTGAGAGGCAGGGACCAATCCTCTTGAACTGTGGCCTCTGACTGCTGTGCGCCCGGAAGGTTCTCAGCAGAGCTTTTGGTGGTGGGGGCCTTTTCCTCAGGGAGCTGAGCGTCTTTGCCAAGAGCTCCTGCAGGCAGCATTGCAGGCCTCCAGAGTCCAAGCTGCTTGAGCAGGAAGAGTCCTCGTGGCTGTGGGCAAGATTCGGGGGTAAAATGTGAGCACATAGAAGGCCTCGGACTGGGGGGACTCTGAGCCAAGGCACCAATGTCTTCATGTGACTCTGTCTTCTAGACGATGTCTGTCCTCATGAACACTATTGTCTTTGAAGACTGTCGGAACCAGTGGTCAGTATCCAGGCCTCTCCTGGGGCTCATCCTGCTCAATGAGAAGGTGAGTGTGATTGCAGGAAACTGAGGCAGAGAGGAAGCGATCCCGGGGAAGAGGGCGCAGCCGTACGCCAGGCCAGGCTGTGACAACGACAGACAGGGGACCCAACTGAGCTTGAGCTGGGGACTTGAGCCCCCGGGGACAAGGCCATGTTCCCCCAGAAGGCCCTTCCCCAAAGGCCTCAGATCTCCTTCAGGTAAGCCGAGGCCTCAAGACTAGCTCTCCTGGAGCCCAGAGCCCCTGCACTGGGCAGGCGGTTTGCTCAGCACTGCTTCAGACTCACCCTCACTCCCCTCCCTGTTGCCCGAGATTCTGGGCAGCAACCCCCTTTGCTCCTTCCTTGGCCTCCTCTCATGTCTGAGACGCCCACTGCCCTCGCTGGCAGCAGCAGCCGCTCGCGGTCACCCCAGAGGCAGCACCCTTCGGCAGGAGCACGCGCCACTCCGGGCGGCCTCCCAAGCTCTCCGGCTTGCCCTGTGACCCGCCCGTCTCCCCAGCAGTCGGCAGGAACAGTGCATTACTGCTGGGGAGAATGAATTGTCTATACAATAAGATAGTACTGGGGAAAAAGACAGTGAGATTAGAGGCAGCCGCATACATTAAAATTCAAACTGAAATCCCAGCCTTGGAAGGAAACTAATAGAAGAAGAAAATATATCAAAAAGAGGAGAGCTGTCTCATCACTCACCTGTGCTGAAGTATCCAATTTTAGCCACATTCAATAGCGGTGTCATTCATCTTCCCTCGGTGTTATTGTGATTTAAATCCAAGCTCTATAAAAGAGAGCAGTTCTTTTAAAATGATTGAGAGGGAATAAGGGCAAATTCAGTGTTTAGAAAAAGCTTATGACATCACAATATTATACTTTACTGATGGAGGCAATATTTCATGGTTTGGGATGAAAAACTAATAATTTTCTATTTGGTGTGAGTCACTGCATCATTATAAAAGGGAAAAATAAGTAGTTTTGTGCATTCCCAATCTTGTTCAGGAAGACACTGTGGTTTAAGTGTAATGCCTCTGATATATAGTATTTAAGTATTAGTCTGACTACATATTAATTATGTGTGTTTTTGATGTGAGCTGTTTTAACGTATGATGGAAATTAAATATCATGCTGTTTGGACTTGGAAGGATAAACACGTGACCAGCAAAATGTTGTCTCTGTGCTAAAATTAGGCTGTTCCCAATGATTAGGAGCCACTTTTAGCAGAAGAGTTGGTGTTTGTACGAAAGCCCAGGGGCCCCGGCAGAGGGGAAGGGGCCGAGCGGTTCTTGGAGACCGAGTGTGACAGGCACCTCCCTTAGTGCCGGAACGCTCTCCCAGAACGAAGCACGGCCCTCCAGCCCACCTCACCTAGCAGGCCCGTCCTAACCCAGGAGGACGGGGACTTGGGACAGAGCCTGGGATGGTTTGAGGGGTAGTCGTTCACTAAAGCCACAGAAGATGAGGAGGCCTGAGGGGGATCCTGGGCCTGGCCTGCAGTCACCAACCTGCTTCCTGGCCATCTTCAGTGAAGTTCCTCCCCTCGGCCTGAGAGCCCTTCCTCTGCCGGGTGTTCTGTGATTAGCGGGGGTGAGAGTCAGGAAGACGTGAGTGTTCTTGGTCCCCACCGAGGAGGCGAGGACTCCCATCAGCCTACATTGTTCAGTGACAATAAAACAGTTAGAGCAAGAGGTTTTTATGGAAAGGGATGGTACAGCTTACACTCAGGAATGTCTCTGTTGCTTTGCTTTTCTTTAAAGGCTTAAAGTCCACAGTGGGTCTGGACCAGAGCTCCTTTGAGCGTTAGGAGCCCCGAGCACTTCAGAGCTGGTCTGCCCCCTCCCCCGCAGCCCCCTCAGGCCCAGGTTTGGAGCCCGAGCGCTGACGCTCCTTCTGTCTCCCAACAGTACTTCAGTGAACTGAGGGCAAGTCTGATAAGCAGCCAGCCGCTCCCCAAGCAGGAGGTCCTTGCCCAGTGCTTCAGGAGCCTGATGGAAGGAGTGGAGCAGAATCTGTCTGTCAAGAACAGAGACAGGTAAGCAACACCCAGCAGCTGAGCATCTCTAGGGGAGGCAGATGTTCCAGGTTTGTAGCAAATAGCTGGATTGTGCTTATTAATACAGCTCCCAGACTGATGCGGCTTTTCTGTTACAGCTGGTAATCCTAGATTCGATTTAGCTGCCTCCAATAAACATGCCTGAGTATTTGCTTTCTTCCAAGCGTCATGCTAGGCTCTGTGCAGGATGCAGAGGTGAATAAAATGCAGCCTTTGCCCTTAAGCGGTTTATAATCCAGCAGGAGAGATATAAAGAAAAAAAATAACTGAAAAGGCCAAAAGAAGGAGAGCTTAGATCTGCTATGAAGGACAAAGAGAGGCTTCCTGGCATTTGAACAAGCATAGGCTTTGAGGTCAAATAGACTCCAATTTTAATTTAACCCAGCCCTTTATAAGCTGTGTGGCACTGAGTAAGGCAATCAGCTTCTCTGATCCTCAGTTTCCTCACAAGTAAAGCAGACATGATGGTAATTGGTTGTGATGTTTGAAAGTGGCTGGTTTTGCAAAAACACAGACAGGTAAGTTGCCAATGAGATCTTGATGAGAACCACCTCTGCCTGAATCCATTCATGCATTCATTAATTCATTTAGTTCACAAAATTTTATTGAGATTCTACTATGTGCCAGGCACTGGGGATACCAGTGGGGAACGCATTGTTCAAGGAGTGTCTAGTGGAAGAGACAGGCATAATGAATGATGGGAGAAAGAAAATGTTTTCAGGGAAAAAAGAAACCTGCCCGCCTCATCCTTCTATAAAAGCGGCAGCATTCAGATGCTACACTATTTGAAATACAAATTATTGGTCTCCGTGATGAGAGGCTCCTTTGGTAACACAAGGCCAAGTCGGACGGGCTTTGCGGACATGTTCTCTTGACTGCTTGTTCTGTGCCAAGACCCTCTGTCGGGCAGGAAGGGGCAGCCTCCGAAGCCAGCAGGAGGAGAGACTTAAGGAAGGAAGGAGGGAACCTTCCCTGGGTGCCTCAGGGAGGAAACTACTTCCCTTGAGGCTTGAGAATGTGAGTACCACCTCGTGAGCCGCTCTGTGAAACGGTGTCAGACAAGCTCCTTGTTTAATGAGAGCACCAGCCCGCCAGGACTGGGCGATCCACGCGCCCGGCACTGTCTCACTGGACTCAGTAAATTCCTCCTTCCCACAGCCCCGTAAGGTAACCACTCGTGCGGGCACCAAGACGAGGTTAAGTATTCATCTGAGATCACCCAGCTTAGTCGGGGAGCCAGGATTTGAACCTACGTAGTCTTACCCAGTACACTCTGTTTTTGAAGCATTAAGTTCAATTTTCTTATCTGCAAATGAGGCTGTTAATACCTATTTTGGGGAAGACTTGTGATAATTAAATGAATTAATATGTAAACTTGACCAGTGCCTGGCACATAAGCTTTTGTTCTTTTCGTTATATTCCTTACCATCTATGTGTAATTTGACTTTTTAAAATAATTTTTAAATAGCATAACCACAGAATGCACCCCTCAAAATGGTCAGAGTGCATTTGCTGGTAACGCTTGTTTCACGACAGGGGAAGGAGAAGGGTGCTGCTGGAGGGAAAGTAGTGGCCCAGAAAATGGGAGGAAGGAGCAGGGTCTAGGGCCCTCTCCAGGGTCCTGAACTCCACTGTGGCTTCAGCATCCAGAGGTTCACACAGCCTCGGCCCCACCACTGCCCTCGGCCCGGTCTTCCTCTTTCCACAGGTTCACCCAGAACCTTTCCGTCTTCAGAAGAGATGTGGCAGAGGCCCTGCGCAGCGATGGCAGCCCTGAGTCCTGTGGCCTGGACATGATGAGCTGACCTGACTTCTGACCATGTGCCGAGCAGCCTTTATCAAGAGACTTTTGTGGGTCTGGGTCCCAGGACAGTGATATTGGCTAGGGGAATCTATTTTTCAAGACAAACAAACAAACAACAACAAAAGCCCTACATTTTTGTAAGTTTAGCCTAGTTGAAAGAATTTATAATAGTGCACAAAAATTATAAATTCAGTCTTCACACTGAAAAAGCGAAATATGTGTTTTCAGTCTTTCTATGAAACATCATTATCTTTGTTCTTATAATGCTCTGAAAGGATGTAGAAACAGTATTTAACCAAAGAACATAATAAACCAGGTTTGCACCTAACTGTGTACTAGTTAATGGTTCTGCAGTCAAGGCTGTGATTTTGTTGGAGGTGCAGCCTTCAGCAGGGTCCCAGATTGAGACAAACACCACTTGAACCTGCGAAGTTGGTGGCAGGTAGCTATGAGTCCGGAAGCAGCAGCGCGGGGGCTCTGAGCTGCGGGCCTTTAGCAGGGGCTGGGAGCTGTCCAGCGCATCCCATAGGACTGCACCCGGCCCTCCCCGCCTCCGCGGCATCTGATAAAGTTGAGAGACAGTAACACGATTAAATGTCTTACAAACAACATTTGCTTTTCACTGGCATAAATCTGAAGTGGTTTAGTCTAGAAGAATTAAGCTGTGCAATTACTGCCTGCAGAGCTATTTCCTCAGAAGGCCCAGGTAGCCCCAGCAAGAAGTTCTGGGTGCTGCCAACACCCAGTCCTTCTGCCTCCATTTAATTTTTAAGAGATGCTGAAGCTATCTAATTAAAATACAGACTCAGAGCAGCTCTGCCTTCCTGAGCCACCCAAAACAGTTCTAGGTGCTAAAGCACAGATTTTCGGAGAATGAGGATATCAGCTGGTTGCCATACCTCCACAAAAACTCTCATCACTGTGAGGACTGCAGTGCAACCCAAACCGAGGACAAGGACACGGAGGAGGCCTTTTACAGTTTGGGATAGACTGTAACGAGGCTATTCACTTGGCATTGCCACTGTCAAATGGCTTGGCGTCTCACTGCTCTGTCTTCATGGTTCAGGCTTGTAATAACCATTTCTGATAAGACATGAAAAGCTGGCCGTACTGTTGAAGAAGAAGTAAGTCCACAGCCTCTTGTTACGACCTCGTTTCTCAGACTAGTGTTTCGTGAAGCCTTTCTTGATGGTTGAGTTTCACAACAGGCTTGTCGCATAAAAGCAAAGTCACCCAAGTTTATCTCCAAGTGTTTGTCTTCCATGTGTGAACCCAGGAAATCAGGGAAAAGTGTGTTCTAGGGTTACTTCCGGTACTTAATGGAGACGTAAACCTCGGCTTTACGTATTTCATTAGCAGCGGGATATATAATTTTCCTTGAAAAGGCAATTCTGAACTTCATAAAAAAAACTTCAACTGTTTGGAGGTGTCTGGATCGAGAATTTTCTGTTTCTCGGGGGCTTATTACTGCATACCACGCATCCCCCCGAAATTCCTCATAGAAGGCCTATCCCATTCTGGCACTGTTTTCTTTACAAAGGCCCGAGACCTAAAAGCATCATGTCATTTACATTAAAATGCTCACTCGAAGATCCCCAAGTGCACTTGCCTTTCTTGACTGCATTGCCCAAGGCTGCCAGGTGGTTTCACACCAGCCAGAGAAGGCTCCGTCTTGGCGTTGGAGAGCTGCTCAGGGAGGAGGTCATCAGGCCTGCTCGTGGGGCTGGATTTACAGAGCACACCGTGAGGCACAGCACCCGCCAGGGGACAGACTCAGCAAAGCGGTGGACCAGCCGCCACGTCCTCCCCTCTGGTCCCCTGCCTTAGTCCTCACAACAGCCCTGTGAAGGCAGACAGCATCACTCCCACTTTTCAGGTGAGGAAACTGAGGCTCAAAGGTGGTACCTAGCTTACAGGGCTCACAAGCAGGACTTGAACCCAGATCCTTGTCACCTGAGACGAATTCCTGTTCTCTTCCACGACCTAAATTTGAGAATGGTGGGTTGAAACCAGTTAATATTTACATCCATTTCCACGTGTTTTTCAGAACTCTACTGCTACACAGCAAATTACCCCCAAACGCAGTGGCTTAGAGCAACAACACCGCTCATCCCATGGCTCCTGCGGGCGCTCCGCCTCGGGCTCTCTCCCAGGCCGCAGTCAGCGCTGTCCACCAGGGCCGTGATCGTCACGAGGCTCGGCCGTGGAAGGATCTGCTTCCACGTGCACTCGTGGCTGGCGGCAAGAGTCAGCTCCTCACAGACTGGTAGACTGAGCCTCAGCTCCTCCACGAGCGGCCTCGCCGTTAGGGCAGCTCACGACGTGGCATCCTGCTTTATCAGCGAGCAGGGGAGACGAGCCCGGGAGCACAGCAGTCTGGAAGCCGCAACCTTTTACCCCCCAGTCTCAGGGCACCGTCACTTCTGCTGTATTCCCTTCGCTGGAAGGGAAGCACGAGGACCAGGCCGCACCCGAGGGGAGGGGTTATACAAGGGTGGGAGGCAGGATCTTCGGAGCCATGTTCCAAGCCGCTTGCCACGACTCCGATCTGGCCTTTGCTGGAGAGGTTGAGTTTGGCCACAAGCTTCTCCCCTGAAACCTGGAAAGGGATACTGATTTCCCTTAGAGGACCGAGTTCCAGTCTGTGCCCTTCCCGAGGGAGGAAAAGGGAGTGGGGAAGCTGAGATGTTTCCAGAGCACATCAGACTGCACACTGAACCCCCATTCAGCAGGGACCCATTTGGAACGGCACCCTCCCCATCCCCCCACAGCCTTGCCAGAGTCGGCCTTGGGAAGGGGCATTGGGGACTCCTGGGGAAGAGTGGCGTCCCACGTGGGAGTTCTTGGGTGGGTCATCCTGTCCCAAGGATGAAGAAGCATTCAAGGAAGCACCCAATCTCGCGGTGCCTACACAAAAGAGAACTGGTTGGATCTGTTATACGCTCCGATCAGATCACAGGTGTATCTAACCTACACTCAACAACGGGAAAAAACTAATAATCCTGGCAGTTCCACGGGGCCTGCCACTTACCCAGCATCTGGCCTGGAGCGAGGAGGAGAGGAAGGTGTGGGCCACTGCTGATGAGAGCCCACCAGGCAAACGTGTCTCGGCCGTGCAGCCTGGGGCTCTAGGTCAAAGCCAGCAGCTTCAGCTGATACTCAGGCAGGAAGCAGTCCGGAGGTTTTGTGACTGCTCAGTTTTTACTGTCTACACTGACTTAAGAACCTGACCTCCTGCTTGTGTTCTCGATGTTTCCATCTTTTCTGTGCTTTCCAGTCAGGCTTCCCTGGGTCGAGGGGATGAGGGTGCTGCGCTACGTGATGATCAGAGCGGCCAGAGGAGTCCTCTCGGCCCCCAGACTCCCTTCCACAGGTCCTGCCAACCTAGAACTGCCTTTGGCTTATGTACAGAGGCCCCTTTCAGTGTGTGCAACTGGCCTGGCATTGGCCGTTAGCTGAGATGAGTGACTGAGTGAGTTAACTACCAACAGAGCTGAGTGTAAGAACAAAGAACAGGGTAGGTTTGGCGAGAGAAACTGGGGAAAGTGAAAGATCTGGCATATGGGAGCCTTGTCTAGAAGCAGGCCGGCCCGGCAGGGTTGGGGGCAGCATCTGAGAGAACTCAGCACCTTCAGGGAAGGAGGGAGGGAGGGAAAACACACCCGGAGAGCAGAGCAGAGAGGGAGAAAGGGGGAGCCTCAAGGTGAACATTAAATAGCTGGCACCACTATCAGTTAACAGGCACCCATTAAGCACTGCAAATCACTATCTCATTTGACTTTAATGCTTCCCAATACGAAAGTTAAGTAAGTAGTGACCCCATTTTAGAGATGAGAAAACTGAGACTAAAAGACTGACCCAAGCCATATAGCTAAAAAGTGGACAAGCCAGGATTCAAAGTCAGGTCAGCTTGACTGCAAAACTCATGGCTCTTTTCCACTCATACCCCTTAAGCTAGGTGCTTCACCACTGGGCTTTGAGGACAGCTGGGTGGAGAGGTGGACACAGACCCTCTGGGACCCCCAGGTGGGGCTGGGAAACCCCCAAGAAAGGCCAGGCCAGCACCTGGGCCCCTTATGTGCTGTGTCTATGGGTTCTGCCACCGATTCATCCTCCGCCCTGAACTTTATAAAATCATTCCTGAGACTTTTTAATGTTTTATTGAGGTGCACGTTTACGATGACAGCAAACCTTTCAAACTACAGCAAGAGTAACCTGCCTCCTTGGCATATTAAAAAATAATGTTAGTGTCGGGTTTTACGTCCCATAGTTTGGATTGCTGATAAGAGCGCTTCCTTGACAAGATTCTTTTTGAGGTTTACAGAAAGCGTAATAAAATATGTAAGTTACATTTCCACAAACAAAAGCTATAACATAAGTTATTTATAAGCGTGAGATACAAACAGTATCACGATAAATAAACCATAAAGGGTACCTGCGCCATCCATCTTAATGTAATTTGCCCAACAAAATGTTGAAACAAAGTCAAATTTAGTAGATCTGTCAGGAAGAGAAGAAAGTTGTAAAACACAAAATGGGAAAAATGGCTGATGGGGCGGGAGGAAACGAGGGCACAAGGTCAGGTGTGGAGCAGCTCAGAAGGCCACCATGTGCACCTGCCCTGGACGCCTGCCCTTGCCCCTGAAACTGCGTGCTCTCTGCCCTGCCACCACCACATCCTCCACCAGGCCACACCAGGGAAGGAATCTCTCCTTCCCTCCCCCTGCCCGCCTTATACCCTCTCTCCTAAACCCCTAGCCCCGTGGCAGCTCCCTCCTGCTGCTGCCAGTCTCCCTGCCAGGCTGGGCCCTCCTCAAGGCCAGGGCCAGGGTCTGACTCAGCACGAGGATCCTGGAAATCGTTCATTCGCTCATTCCTTCCCCTACTATAGATGAACGAGTGAACGAGGTGAAGTCTCTGCCTTCAGAGAGCTGGTGAGCAGAACAAATAAGATAGGGTCCAAAGGCAATGAGTGCAATGATGAAAATAAACAGGGACAGAAAATGGCTGGGGGCCAGGGGGCTGCTCTAGAGGACAGGCAGAGAGGTGATAGCTGACTTGGGTCTTAAAGCATGGAAAGGCACCTGCTGTGGGCGGAGCCGGGGGTGGCGAGTGCTGAACTGAGCACACTTCTGACCCCTTCTTCCTTACCCCCTCGTCTGACCTTGCTGTGTGCTATTCAACTTAATGCCACAAATTCCGGACGACCCTCCAGTGAGCCCCGGGCCAGCACCGGGACATGGACTTGAGTGCCACCAACACCTTTTCTGCCCCGGAGACTCTCCCGGGGCCAATGCGGAGACAAGTGAACCTGCTGCCAGCAGCCCT